GTTCCTAGTCCGGAAAACCATTGGCTCTGAAAAGACAAAAACAAGATAAAATGTATCATCATCATGAACGCAATAACACGGCTAGCACGCGCTCTCTGCATCCTCCGGCTCATCTTCCGCTTCGCTCTCAGAACGCATGAGCCAATTTGTCCGGCGTTAGACGCAGCCCGAAGTACGCGTACCGATAAAAAGAGACAGTGAAAGAGAGCAAGAGAGAAAGAGATAAACGAAGAGAAAAGAGAATAACTACAAAAAAGATAGAAATACCGAGAAATAAATGTACAAAGAGAGAGAAAGAGCAGGAAAAGAACAGGCACTAAAAAGCAAGATAAACTGACTGCAAGATAGAGAGAGAAGAATAAATGAAGTGACAAAGAGAAAGAGAGAGAAAGCTGGTAATGGAGGCAAAAGGAAGAGAAATAAAGATAGAAAGAGTTAGAAAACAAAATTGAAAAAGAGAAACATCAATAAAAATAAATTGAAACAAGGAAGGCTGCCTCGTTCCACTGATTCTTAAAACTTGTAATCACCTGTTGAAAGCTGCCTTTTTTTTTTTCTGTCGTCATCATCTTTTCTTCAACTCCTCGCTTAAAAGCCTGCGATCCACGAGTAATAGTGCTGGGAAAGCAATGTGGTCTTGAGGCTAGCGTTCGCATATATTTGATCCAAATGGCTCTCTTTCTTTTCTTTGGAAAGGAACGTGAATGGTACAGTGAGCGTTGTTTATGCTTCTTCTTTTTCTTTTTTTTTCTTGTCGCTCTCCTGTCACTTCAAATAGTTGCGCGCGATGCATAAATGTCAAATACGGCGAAGATGTATTTCGCTTGTCGTCGGGTTTTGGTATACGCTGTTTTTTACTCGCTATCGTTTTCGAAATGTCAGTTGCGTAAAAAGTACGACGCGCATAACCACTCCAACTGTCTAGTCAATACACCTGTTTTAGAACAAACAGTGGTCATTTATGTTGCGTATATCTGCGCGAATCTGGATTCCATCATCGGCGTTGCGCCACTGCACTAAGTCAGACATGAAAGAAAAAAAAAGCATTTACAGCGACGCATGCATGTGGCGCCTGCATGGACAAAAAAGTTCATTGTATTACGTCATTCCTCAATAATGCGCGCACAAACAGCGTACGACCAGCGTACACTCGCACAAAATCTGCGTACACTTGTGTACGCAGGAGGAAGTGAAATGAATGGTTTTAAAGAAAAGAAAACGTGCCGCTCGCATTATCGATTGCGTCCCGCAAATCAGCCATCTTTATTCCAGGCTATCGCATACGCGCACGCGCAGAAGCTTCTACGTTTTCAATCCACTTGAGTGCAAATGCCACACGATCCTGATGGTAGAAATGCTATATGGGGAACACTGTCGATCAGTAGCAGGCAGCACTTACGAATGAATTTACTTCTTCCATCCCGTAAAACTTGGCATCGAACGTTACACATAGCACTCTTCTTAGTGTAGACACGAGTACGTAGGCGTATGAGTTCGAATTTGCCGCAATATGTCGTTTTAGCATAACGCTTGATTCAAGTTGTTGGAGCTCTGCATTGCTTAATGGCCCGTTGTTGGCTGGTCCTTTAGAGGGGCTTTTAGCGAAATGATGTGTATTACCCATGCTACATATAGCAGCGCCATCGGGCATGCGTTAATCAAATCAGTTAGGCGAGTGATAATGCAGCATCCTTCGTACAGCCTCCGCGTAGTCATTTAAGCGTACGCCTCGACTGAGATAGTCACAGCTAGAAGCTGTATGTTTCTGTGACATTTAGGGACCACTGCTTTTCGCACCACCATTAAGACATCTTCAACATCATGCTCTTCTAGTTTCTTGCTCCTTTGTTTTCCGCGATTCTTGAAATCCAGCGCTCCTTTGTTTTCCTTCTAATTCGTTGCCGATTAATGAACCCGTCTTGAGGTGCAAACGAACATCGAACGCGGGCTAGACGTGTCTGAACGCCTGTGGGGTGCGTACCCAGAAGCTAGCTTCACCACAATAAAGGTCAGTGTAAGGGAAAAGCCCACGTTCGGTAGCGCAGAGTCACATAGCGTGGGAACACTGAGTAGTCTGCTATCGATTAGCGTCGAGATTCGGTGTACATAAATGCATGAAGTATCAGCGTTAATCGACAGCAGAATACTAAGTGATCGATGCTGTGCGACTACGTGCGCCGATATAGGGCTTCTTCTCACACAATTTGTGTTGTGGCGAAGCTAGCTTCTGAGCGGATACTCCGCACACATTCAGACGCGTTGAGTCCTGCGTTTGAGCTTCGTGTTCTGTAAGTAACACTGAGACATGGTTAATCTACACCTAGTTAATTAACTAATATATTTATTTTTAAATGACGCTTAAGTTTTCAATTTACAGTGTCGAAACTCAGAAGCACACTGAATTGTTTCTTGTCAGTAGTCTTGTTGAATAAGAAGGCGAATTCTCATTTGTATGTTTTCTATTGGTCGGCTCATTTCACTAATGTTATACCCAGCCTTAGGATTTTTTTAACATTGTACTAATGAATACTTGTAATGTAAAGCCTTACTTTTTATGTATGGGGGTGCAGAGTACTACTATCACGGAATTATTCTTTGACGGAGGATGCGCCAACTGCATGCCAATATATTTAATGCTGTCGCGGATGAGGAAACACCATCCGAGGCAATGTCTCTTTTTTTTATGAGCTGTATATGTTGGCAGTTTAATCACGTCGTCGCAAAATGGGGCGCTTGACCCCACAGAATTCATAATCTTAGATTGCAGATGCTGCGTTCTGAAGGGAAATCAGAGAAAACTAGACGCCTCCAAATATTAAAAACAAAGGAATTACTATACTCGATGATGAAGCATCTGTAAGTAAATGAACTGAAGAAATAAAAAATTTTATGCATCGGTGTAAGTAACATAAATAACGCCACTTTACGGCCACTGACGACAGGCCCAAATGCGCAAGGTCGAAAGAAAACCGAACACGCCGGTATGAATTAATTTTCTTCCACATTTTACTTTTTTATTTCATTTTTTTTGTATAGAGCGTTTTATGGGGCCATATATTCCGGTCGACGACGGCATTTTATGTTTTCGCCGTCCCTGGCGGCTTTGAGACAGCGCGTCGCTGTACGAGTGCAGTCTATGGTTAAATGATGAAACGACGTTTTCGGCAGCACCGTGGCCCAGTTCTTTTTTATTGCCTCCGTAAACAAATTTATTTTTAAATTGCTTTTTACAACAATATATAACATTTCATATATGTCAAGAGAGTATTAAAGGAGACGATAGTTCAAGAGAATAAAACACTCGCAAAAAAAAAAAATGAACGATGGATTGCAGGTTAATGTTTTATGGCATGGTTGCCCGAGACGGGAACCATTTTTCAAAGCAGTACTTATTATAAGCGTAACTGATGGGGCATTTTAAATGCACATTCGTTGTTGTCACCATCCAGTACGACTGTTTAGGCTCTGCAGACATTCGTTTAGTGCAACGCATTGGATGAGTATGAAGTTCAGTATTCGTGCGATAAATCTAGTCATCCGGGAAGAATCCGAAGCTATCGCGCGTTTGACTTACATGGGTCTTAAAACAAACAAGCAAGCGATTATTAGTTCGATAAAGTACAGATCTTTGATATGCTTCGCTCAGCGTGGGATGTGAGACCGGATTCTTTATGCGTACGACTTTGAACATTTTATTGTAATATCTTACGGTAATATGCACCGTATTGTACAAGGTTGACCGCATTTAGAATGAACACCTAGTTAGGCATTCGAGTTGCTGAAACTAGAGCGTTTATTTTCCTTCCTGAGGGAATTACCCTTTACATGAAGTCCTTAATGTGGTGTAGACAAACACAGTGATACTTATCCGAATCGTACATTAAGCATATGCTTTGTCGAAGTCTTCGATATTAGGGTGTTAACCTCAGATGTAGATGAACCTGCACATAGCACGATATGTGTTATGCTGTAATTGCGGGCCTGCTGCATTTACTGACACTGCGGTGTTTTCGCAGTGAGACTAGGGAGAAGCGAAAGCCGCTGGCTACGGAAGCGGCGTTTAGGAGCAGAGGCGTAGCAAGAAATTCTTTTCATAGGTGAAGGGAAGAGGTTAAGTTATACTTTATGTATGTTCGTGCGTGTGTTGGTATGAGTGCGTATGAAGCCAAATTGAAAATTTTCTGGGGCGGGGGGGGGGGGGTGAAATTCTTTTGGCTACGCCCCTGTGCAGGAACATACAAGATGTCAAAGGGTACGAAATGGCGCAGAGATATTATTGAAAATAAAACTACATACCATAGATTTCAGTAGCAGTTTCTAATTCCTGCGAGCTTACTTAAATGTAACAAAACTCTTAGGCAGAAATAAAATAGTTTTCTTATGCATAGATGATTAAAATTTGAAAACTAACCAGCTTCAGAGTTAAATGAAGCCATGTGCGAAACCTACCTATGGATTTGATTTCGATAACACTTTTTTTAAATAAGGCGCCAATTAAGTAGTTGATTGATTGATATGTTGGGTTTAGCGTCCCAAAACCACCATATGATTATGAGAGACGCCGTAGTGGAGGGCTCCGGAAATTTCGACCACCTGGGGTTCTTTAACGTGCACCCAAATCTGAGCACACGGGCCTACAACATTTCCGCCTCCATCGGAAATGCAGCCGCCGCAGCCGGAATTCGAACCCGCGACCTGCGGGTCAGCAGCCGAGTACCTTAGCAACTAGACGCCAAATAAATAGTGTGATGAGGGCCAAAAACACGCTAAAATTATGAGCTTGCGCTACGTATATTTGCGGATGCTCTGGTGATTGGTGTCTGACTTGGACAAATACTATCTGGGACAGGTTAGCGTCCTTGAATAGCGCCGATGACTCCTTTTTACTTTGAACAAATGCATACAAAAATTGTATTGCCAACCTGCACAGTTAAAAAAAATAAAATATCCAAGAAGAAGCAAAATGCATGAATCATTATTCTTTTCTCCTTGCCTTTTAGGTATTGACTTTAAGCAGAAGATAATCAACCTGGACGGTGTGCCAGTCAAGCTTCAAATATGGTAAGTAGAGATTTGTTTGTTTTTTCTTTTGTTTTGTTTTTGTGATAGCTTAGACATGTGGTGTCATAATTTCTACATGCATCGTCAAAATAAGTACATACCACTCAAGCCGTTCGTATTTGTGGGAAACACTATTTATTTAATTTAGTTTACTTGGCAAAAAATAAAATAGTGATAATTAACAAATACGAAGACCTCATCAGAAAAACAAACTCTTATGTTTCCTTAGATACTGTTTAAATAAAAGGGCAGCGTGAAAATTTGAAGCTGCTACACCATAACATTTGCAACTTTGTCATTCGTCAGTCTTCAGACAAGTTATCAAAAGGCAATATTAGTCATAAAAAAATTAGAGTGAAGGTCATATTTCCCACATACAATAACATGCCAGGCAAGAGCTTAAACTGAGACATTCGACGAATAGCTTTTCACATTTACAAACCACTGTGCATTTAATCTTGGAAAAAGTTACTCGAAACAAGTCATCTGACGTTTTCTTTTTTAGTCAAAACTACCACGAGTAACGTTTCCTGAAAAAAAAAAGGTGCATCAAACGTACGCTGCCTTGCTTTTTGTGTGTGTTTGTCAAGGCTTGTGGCTTTATTGTCGAATGCATTTTGTGCGGAGCGCATTCACTTTTTCCTGCCTAACAGTGGTCAGTACCCGCTTCGAGAACACAATTTCGATTTCTAAAGCCCTCTACTTCGCAGTACATAAACGCTGTGCGGAGAAGCAGCCACTGTGGAAGTCTTTGTGGAGGTTGAGGTTCGTGCGTCTGTTGAGAGATGGCAGCACGGCCCCGCGCGTAACAGAAGCGAGTTTCTCCCCGAGGCAGCGGCCTGTTTGCGAAGCTTTCCCCGGCGATTTTGAATGGACTTTCGTTTTCCTTCAGCGTGGTATCTTGTAGGAGGCCTTTAACGCCTGATCGCAGGGCCGTAGTCGGGAGAGGGGGGTTCGGGGGTTCAAACTTTTCGGAAAATTTTTCGATTTTCCTTGCGTGTGCATACGCGCACACCCACAAGTGCACACACGAAACACATATAAAGTAACGCTCGTCATTGGTTGGTGAAGGTGAATGAATAGTCATTATCTTGATCATATGTCCATGATCAGGAATGGTCAAAAATTTTCTTCACGAACTTCTTAAGAGTAAGAGCATTTCTTTTTAAAAATTCAATTACTGGTTCTGACAGCCCCTTCATCGCATATATATTACGCTGGATGTACTTCACTTCGTATGTGGCTGACGCAGGCCCGTGGCCAGGAAATTTTCAAATTTTCTCTTAAGTGAGTAGCGTGAAAAAATTGAAGTACAAAAATAAGACACCTGGACACAACGCCAGGTGTCTTCCTTTTGCACTTCAATTTTTTCGTGCAACTCAGTTAAGATGAATTACTAACTCGCCCAGCAGTCCGTGATCCTCAAATTTTTAAAGAGAGGGGACGAAGCAACAGCAGAAGGCTTTGACTATTTGAGAAAAACTCCTATTTTCATTATTTATTTTCGATAAAATTCTCCCCCACTTCATCAAAATTTCAAAGTGGAGGTGTGTGACTAGAGCACCCTCTGCCCCTGACTGGGGGCCTGGTGTAACGAACAAACTCGCGCTCCCTCGGTCTTCTGCTCGCTTTTTCGTGGTATCAGTAACTGACATTGTGAAGAAGCGTGCTGTTTGCTAATTAATGTACGTCATCACTATTGGAAGTTTGCGTCATTCACCTTTGGCGATTTGTCCAACGTGCAGCATCTCTCCGCTCTGAGATTTTAACCGCGTCGGACGATTAGCACCACCTGACAGTCGATTACATATTCGTCACTTCGTCCAAAATTTACGGCGATTATTGAACAGGCATTTTATACACGTAAGGCATAATTATCCGTTCTTCATAGGTGCATCCAAATGCACTCCTTTGCCCTAAATTCGCTGGAGTCAGATTATTGAATACGATAGTCTTTCTTGGAAACCCGATGCAAAAATGTTGATCTGTATGTCCATTTGTCTGTGTGTACACTGAAACGATACCCCAAACAGCCTAACTCATCCGCACCGCTCTCCAATATTGCTCAAGTTTCAGCGTTTATACACATTGTTCAATTGTCAATTAAAAAGCAATTATGGCGCATATCTGAGGCACCATTACAACACGTCAATGTTTTCTATGTGTGGCTTTATACTAGAAAAGGCATATACATAAGTAATCCTAAGCACCGTAGCGTGTATCACGCTGTGCTAACGATGCAACGCTTGCACGAGAAGGGCAGTGTTTCCAACGCTTCGCTAAGACGACATGGTGGTGGCACTTAACCGTCGCCTTGAGTTCTACACCTTCCCGCCATCGAGACGGGCGTGCAAGACGCGTGGTTCGTTTTTCAAGATGACGGCCAGATAGCGCTCATGTCTCACGTGTGACGTGACTCGATGCGCTCGTTCGCCTTCGATGCACGCTTTCGGTTTTCTTGCGCAGAACATCAAATAAACGTTTTGTTCACTCTCTCCAGACGCAAGACGAAATTTGCAGTGTAACATGCATATACGTGGCGATTTATTTATTTATTTATTTATTTATTTATTTATTTATTTATTTATTTATTTATTTACTCGAATTTATGATTTTGTTAAAAAACGCATGGTTGAGACCAAGGCACATCATGCGTTTACGTTATAATCAGCGTGAATCAATGCAATAGCGGGTAATGCTTTTTTTTTTTAACGCGTACTGTCTGTTCCGTTCAGACTGACGGCAGCTAGACAGGAATGCTCGGGCTGCACAACGCTTTGTGCCAGCACGTCAAATGCGTGGTCAGACGTTAAGCCGACCATAGAAATGCCAAGAAAACAGCACTGACAGCGCATGCAAGCTCATGAAAAGCCCAACTGAACATACGCTCGTGGTTGCAACGAAAAAGCACCTTTCTGGCTCTGAAGAAGCCGCCAAATAAATACCGTGCTCGACTCCCCGCTTTTTTCAAGACGAAACGGATAGAGAGTGCCCCTAAATTTGCATAATGCGAGCCTGTGTGTAGCGACACCAGCTTTACGAGTTAATTTCTTCGCTGATGGAGTCGCTGATGGAATACAATCATTACCTCGCTTGGCTATCTATGCCCGCCCATGCGCCCGCCCACACACACACTCACACACACACACACACACACATACACACACACACACACACACACACACACACACACACACACACACACACACACACATCATGTTTATGTGGGGGAAAGGCGGAACGCTCTTTTACGAAACCATTGTTTATATATCTCGAGTGAATGGCACCCAAATAAAAACCACGTTCTGTTAGAAATGTAGAGGACATCAGCCATGCTAACCATTTGTTTTATTTATTTTTTTGTTTATTAGTCGATGATTCTCCAAGTGGTGGTCACAGCCGCACTTTTCGCGCTGATTACTCCGGCCTACAGACATAGAAAAAAGTGCACGGCATGGATCGGTCATCGTCCAAGCGCGCACTGCGCCGTAAGCCACTCACGTTCGATGGCCGTTGGTCCCGCATGCCGTAATTACAGCTGGGACGGGCGGTGCCGTCGGGCGAATGCTATGCGCGCCGCCAGTGCCAGTAGACGGCAGCTGTTCCTGCATCAATAACGTTGGTACGTGAGGCGATCCGCGACTCAATGATAAAAAGCTGTATGTAGGTGCACGGAAGCATGACTTCTGCACTCAGCGCGTCGTTATATAATGCGCCCGCTGGTGAAAACTTGGGACCCGGAGTGGACAATACAAAGATGCTTCAAAAAGGTCCCCAAACCACTCCATGTTCAAAGGAGAGAGAGAGGTTTCTTTTTTTCTGGCCTTTCCTACCCTTTCTACAGGCATTATCTTGACCAATCAATGAATCATAGAAAACGTGGGCAATCTCAGCACAAGACGTTGAACGTATCAATATGTCGCGCTTATCGGCTACACGCTGTCGCATTCGCTCGCGCAGTCGAAGACGCTCAAAACGAAGTGCATTATGTTGATCGCGTACGATACTTATGCCAGAGCAGACAATAGAGAGCTTATTTCTCATGGCGTCCCTGCTGGCGTCATTAGTTATGAATCAAAAGGCGGCAAACGCCGGGAGAAAATAACGCGCTCAATCTTTCTTCGTGTTTTAAGAGGTTGTTCGGAGGCCCTCTAAAGAGCACTTCGCAATTTGGGGACCGCCTTCGCTAAGGGAGCAGATGGCATCGCTATGAGGGATTGTATATCATCGGGATTGGATGGTACTCGCTCTCACGAAATGTACTGTATCAAAGGAACGTTCTGTGAATGTTAACGCTCAAGAGCTGATGATAAATCCGTGCAGTGCAGTTTAGCGAAGGCCTAGTCACTAACGAGAACAGGCTAAAGGTTCCAGGAAAAAAAAGGACACGCCAAACAAGGGCGTGACCAGTTTTTTTTTTTTTTTGTTTTTTGCAGTGGTGCGAACGGGGTGGGGTTGTGATTTCATATGTGTGTTCATCTGTACTTTATGTATGCTCGTGGGTGCGTTTGTATGTATGCGTGTAATGCAACAATTAAAAAATATTGGGGAGCGTTGGAAACCCCTAACCCTCTCTCGCTCTCCTGGCTACGCCCTTGATGCCAACTGTGCGCTACCGGAGCCGAAATACGGTTCTGTGTTTTCGCACGTTACGATTGCCATTGGACTGCCGCCATGCGCGCACCATCAATATTCGCTCTAGTGAACACTTTTTGATCTAGTGCCGAATTCACAAAGATGTTTTTTTTTGTTTCCAAGTGTTATTTGTGATTGGTTCACTGATAAAATACCAAGCATCAGTATTGGTTGAAACTTTTTATTAGAAAAAATTCTAACGTATGTCTGCTCCAGCTGTCTTGTAGAGGGGGAAAGTTTCGTATTTTTTTCGGTTACTCCATTTGCTCAAGACTTGCATCGCAAGAAAATAAAAAAGGGAGGGGGGCAAAACTGAAAATGAATAAGTGACGGAAAAAAAAAGAGCAAGCCGAAACAAAGAAGAT